TTTTTTCCTCTCCTAGCACACCTCCATGACCAACAGTACGCAATTATGAGATAACTGGGGTTAGAAGTTCAGCTTCAAATTGGTATCACTGGAGATATACATGTGTTTGTTTTTGATGGACCAGTGGACTCAGTATATATCAGTGGAGATATACAAGTGTGTTTTTTCTCAATGGACTAAGCAAGTTTATGAATATAAACTCCTTGTAACATCTAAATGGTTTCTACCTTAAAATGGTTTCTACCTTAAAATGCCCATCCCTGAAGAGACAGTATCATGTCATAGTTCAGACCATACACTCTGGAGCCAAGACGACATGGATTGTATGCTGACTCCACTATTTACTACTCGGTGAATTTAGCAAGTTACTTAACCTCTGTGACTCAGTTTCCTAATCTACAAAGTATGAATAATCAAGTGGGATAGTTATGAAGAGTAAACGAGCTAATCCTTACAAAGTGCTTAGAACAGTGGCTGTCATATAGAAAACACTAAATAAATGTGAGCTATTATTTTGTAATTTTTTAAAAACCAACTTTATAAATAACACAACAGAGCCCGTGGCTCTTACAATCCTAAATAAAAACAACATTTTTGAGAACAGGAGCAAGAGCAGAATTATGGTAATGCTATAACTAGAAGGCAAAAAACTCTGGAATTTAAAGATGCAAGTGGTACATTTCTAACCTAAAGCCCCTGCCCTTTCTTCCCTACCTTCCCCCCATTAACAAAGATTATTCCATGTACTGGAACCAAACGAATATAGGGATGTCATTGGCAACTACCTCCACCTCCAACTCACTGCTCCCTCCTACAAGGTTGTCTCACCCTTCTTGGAGGCCTTGAGGGACAGGAAGAACCATTTGGATAGAGCAATAGACTACTCTGATCATGACAATTCCAGTTCTGCTCACAAGTACTACCAAGAGAGAGAACTCTTCCATTTCCTAGTCTAAGACTCATCTTTGAAGTAATGTCTAAATAGAGAAGGCTAAGCAATGGGCACCTGTTAATGCTGATTTTACACTGATTTGTTTCACTGATTGGCAATCTGGTCAGTGGAAGAAATGGCAGCTCTGCAGTATTCCAGAAATTCTCAGGATTAAAAAGTACAAACCTGCTTTTCTTTTGTTTCTTCTATTGAATCCATCTAGAACCCCCTTTACAGTATTTATGTCACCCTTTATAACCCAAATCCTTAGTGGCCTAAATAAGGATTATTTTCTACTTCCTTATACATCATTATAATCTGGGATTTGGTGTTTTAGGCTACCTTTTTTGGTGTCTGGGTAGTTCTTTTTTGAAGATAATCCTAATCCATCTTCTATTTTATATGCATGCAAAATTTAGACTACTACTCCAAGTTAGGTAAAGAACTGATTTTTCCTTTTACTGTTCTGTACTATCAATTCTAATTTTTGATACAATTTTTTCCTCAAATCATTCTTTTTATTTCTAAAGTATTACTTGATCTTAAACACATTAATATATTTTATCAATTTTATCAATAGAAATTCTAACTTTTATAAATATAGAAATATTGAAAGAGAGCTGGCTAATAATTAGGGAAAGAAGAAATGTTTTTTTCTTTTTTTAATTGACAAATAAAAATTATATATATTTATCATAGACAACATGATATTCTGAAATAATGTATACATTGTAGAATGACTAACTCAAACTAATTAACATATGCATTACCTCAGACATGTATCATTTTTTTGTGTGAAGAGAACACTTAAAATCTCTCTTGGCAATTTTTAAGTATATAATACATTGTTATTAATCATAATCACCACGTTGCACAATAGATCTCTTGAACAAATTAATTATTCCTATCTAACTGAAATTTTATATTCTTTGACCAACATCTCTTCACCCATGCCCTCCCCACCCCCTGGTAACTGCCATTATATTCTCTACTTTTATGAGTTGAACTTTTTAAGATTCCACATATAAGCAACATCTTGCAATATTTGTCTTTCTATACCTTGCTTATTTTTTGAACTTTATGACTCTTCATTTCTACTTGGGAAAGCCTATTTCTATTAGTTTAAGTTTCCCTGAAGATGAACAATTTTGTGGTAGAATGGGGACTAGAATAGGCTCATTACAGAGATGTTGTCACATAAGAAAGTACAAGACATAGGAAGGCAATAAATTTATATGTATACTTCTCTAGGGTTAAAAAGGAAAATACAAATTATTCTAGACCTCAAAATAAGCATACACTGTTTTCTCATTGAAAAATGCTGATCAAGTCCTTTATTTCAAACTTTCAAAAAAAAAAAAAAACTTACAGTATAATTAGTAGCTTGAATGTTCCTAAGTGCTGCTTCCAGTTGTGTTATCAAGAAACGTAAAGTCAAAGCAGGAACAATTTCTTCCCCATTCTGGCTGTTAGCTACAACTTCTCTCTGTGGAAAATAATACAGTTGAAGATTTCTTTAGGTTAGAACAAATATCTACATATGTTCATGTTATACAGATAATATAAGCTTATTGTAGAAAAATTGGAAAATAGAGATAAAGACAGTTTAAAAAAAACTCACATCACCCAGATACACTATTCTCATACTTGTTTTTAAGTAGTCTGATGAATCTCCTTTGTAACTATTTCCTCAAAACACTAAAAATCATTCCTATGCCTGCCAAGGGGATGGCAACATCCACTCCTACTTCAAAGGAAGATGGTAATCCAACTTCATGCTCATACTTTCTATTCTCTAGCATAGCCAAAATCTTCCCTCCAGCCCTGAACCTGTGGTAGGCAGGAATGCTGGCATTAATACCAATACCAGGGCAAGCAAGCCATTTTATGCTGCAATCTGATTGGAACTGAGCTAACACATGCTTTATTGCATACTATAGTTTGTAAATTATATGGTTGAAGTAAAAGAAAGGACTATGTCTTATCATTGTGTCCATTCCCTAATGCTTTGTACCCACAAGTGCTTGGCTTAAATTACATTATCTATTTAATAATGTATACTCTGTGTGGAAAGTTTAATCTACACTTTCTTAACTTGGTTTCTAGTATACAATACTTTCTTGTTTTCGCCCTAGCTATCTAGGTACTTACTTCATTTCAGTCTCCCCAGCAGTCAATCTAAGGAACCTCTTCTCTATCAACACACATTCCATAGATAAGGTAGTTCACTATCATATTTTTAAATAGTGTCTACACACTGACAGTTTCCAAATTTATATTTCCAGCCAAGAACTGTCACCTGAATTCCAACCTCATATATCCAGCCATTGACTCAACAATATCTCTTGAATGTGAACAGGCATATAAAACAGTACTGAAGTTACACCTCTGTTAAGCAGCCTAGGTGCATGATTTCAGATGAATCCTCCCCAAGGAAAACACCTAAAACAGCTGGACAACATATAAAAACCATTTATCCGAAAGCAATGGAAAACTACCAAGGCACTGTCAATCTCTCAGGCCAACATACAGGAGAGGAGGAAGGACCAGAAACATAAGACTAACTCACTTTTTAAAGCAATTTCAGTTGTGGCTGAGATTCTAGGCAGAGCCTTCAGCAAATTTACAGAGCTGGGAGGAAAATTGGAGTGCATGGCCTATCAAGGAGGTGGGGCCCTGGTTAACACCCCATTCTTTTGCAATGGAAACAGACCATAATATAAGGATTTGAAGGCAAGTAGTTTATTTGGGAGGTAAAGAGAAAAATAGTAGGAAAGTGAAGAAGTGATATAGGGAAGGGAAAACAGGCTTTAAATTAAAGGATGTGTTACTAAGCTAATTACCTACAGCTGGCTACTGGGTTTAATACAACAGGGAAACTCTGGAAAACTGAAAAATAAGAGCTTTAGCATTATCCAATGCAAGGGCAGAGGGAACTGGGGTACTTACATAATAACTCCCAAGACATACTGATTGAGTGTTTTCTGAGGTAATGGGGGAATATTAATTCCTTGGGTCTTTTGAACTGCCATGAGAAGTACAGACTTCTGCAGTTCCAGAAAAAAGGCCCTGAGGCACAGAGATGTAGATATTGAAAACAGGAAATTGTCCAGAGCATACTGAAAAGATAGGTAGGGTCCAAGGGGTATGGGCAAGCCACTGACAGCATCTGCTACAAAAGGTATAGAAATAGACCCTTCCTCACAGAACATAAGTAAAGATCGGAATCATCCCAATCCCTTGTTAAATTAAGTCATCTACTAGAAAAGCACAAACAAGAATTACTTGGAAAGATTTTGCCTGGTTTTTCTAGTTCCTCAGAGGAAATTTGCTCTGAAACAAATGAGGCAGCCACTACAAGTAGTAGAATTCTCCCTTATCTTTTCAATGAGCGTAATTTGTATCGATGTTTTCATGTTCATTCTTGATTTTGGTTATTTTTGTTTTCTTTCTTTTTGAACATTCTTATCAAGCATTTATCAATTTTATTGATCTTTTCAAAAAACTAAGTTTTGTACCATAGACTGCGTGGCTGAAATAAAAAAATTTTAAATAGTTAAAAAACCCCACCAAGTTTTGCCTTTATTGATCCTCTCTATTTTATGTTTTATTCTATTTATTTGAGCTATCCTTATTACTTCCTTTTTTGAGTGTTTCTAATTTGCTGTTCTTCCATTAACCTTTTAAACTTCATGCCTAGATGACTGATATTCAATCTTGCTTCTTTTTCTAATACATGCATTTCAGGCTATAAATTTTCCTAAAAGCACAGCTTTATCTAATAATACAATTTTTGATATATATTTTTTTAATAAGTTCAAAAATTTATTTAACTTCCACTGCAATTTCTTCTTTGATCTACTGGTTACCTAGATTAGAATTATATATATATCACAACTTATGAACATGTGGTTTTCTAGTGTATCTTTCTGATACTGATTTCTAGATCGATTGCACAGTAGTTAGAGAACATGTTCTATATGTTTTGATCCTTTAAAATTTGACAAGTCTTGTTTTGTGACCTAGCATCTTATCATTTACAAACGTTCTGTATGTATTTGGCTCTACTGCTAGAATTTCTCTTCTATTTTCTAGACTTGTCTATAGTGTCAAGAACAAGTAACAAATTCTTTTTAGTTATTAGAACTTCACAAATTATCATATCTATGTGAGCAAATTCCCAGCCCTTCTTCCCTATACTTCTCTTATATAATTTTCTTGGCTATTTTTCCCCTTATTTCCCATGTGAACTTCAGAATTAGCTTTTAGTGACAATAACCCAAAAAATCCTTTTGTTTTGCTGGAATTAGATGATATTTGTAGATTTTAATTTAGGAAAAATTGACAGCTTTAACATATTGTGTCTTCCTAAATGTACTATTTTCCCTTCAGGTCTTCTTTTCTTACCCTTAACAGAGTTTTAGAGAGTTTTATTTACTGTTTTAATACGGAATATTGATTTCTAAACTTAATGTGAATAAGATCAGTGTGTGGGTGTTTGCTAAAATATAGATTCCCAGATTTATTCCCAGAGATTTTGATTTTTTAGAACTAGTACAGGGTTCAGAGGTTCTCATGAGAGTGGTTTAGAACAAACTTAAAGAAATACTAGTTTATCTTGTACATTTCTTAAGAGTTTTTCCCGGGTATTTTACTTTTGTTGCTATTACAAAAAAGTACAGTTGGCCATTTGTATCTGTGGGTTTCAGATTCATGAATTCAACCAATCATGAATTAAAAATTTGAAAAAAATAAATAAATAAAAAATAAGAATACAATAAAAATAATACAAATTAAAAAGATAATATAGTATAACAGCTCTTTACATAGCATTTACATTAGATTAGGTATTATAACTAATCTAGAGATGATTTAAAGAATAGCAGAGGGTGTGCATAGGTTATATGCAAATACCATGCCATTTTATATAAGGAACTAAACCATCTGTGGATTTTGACATGGTTGAGGGTCCTGTAACCAACCTGCCACAGATACAGAAGGATGGCTATACTCTTCTTCTATTTTCACCTTCTAATTGACTATGTTTTGCATATGTGAAGGCTTCTGATTTATGTTTCTTGTTTCTGGGCAATTTCCAAAGATAAGAGGGAAATGTGGCATAACTTCATCAATTTCAAGCCAGAATTCATTTATACTATGATAAATTATTTCAGTTAAGGTTATAATTGTACATGAAGTCTTACGGACATTTTCAGAGTTTGTTTGAATTTTTTGTCATATTGGTGTTTCCATGTTTCGTGAAAATAATTACTGATGTATTCTTTCAAAGAAAATGCAAACGTGGCCTTTTCAAGATATCTATGGTGTTTTGCTCCCCTCTCCCCCAATTAATTGTCACAAAGAAAAGAGTAGATCATTTTCTTTAACTTTAGAAAACCCCATTAAGAAATGGTACCCTTCCTATGCTGAAAGTTATCAAACCTATTATATAGAAAAACTATTTTCAAAATGGAAATCTATAATATATTCTCTAGAATATTTATTTCACTCATAAATCAAAAAGTTCTAGGTATTATTTTTGAAAAATATGTTAACATTTTACAAATTAGAAACCAAAAGCAGTCCTCTGTCCCAGAGTGGCATGTTGTAAGTTATTAGTAGAAGTGGAATAAACACTAGACCTTATGGTTAACAGCTTACACGCTACTAATCCACATGCCTACCATTATGCTTGAAAGGATAGCACTGACTAATTCTACTTATTTAATTTAAAAAAGTATATACTCAAGATTGACACCAAATCCCTTTACAAGAAGATGAGATTTCTAGACCTTAGCTACGCTGTATGATTTAAAAAAAAAAAAAAAAGCCCTATAAGGAGAGCTGTATTTCTGCCTTAAAGAACGGATTATGATATTACCTGCATATTTTGGAAGGAAAAATCTTCTTGTAAGAACTTCTTAATGTGAGGAACCACACCTTTTGGTAGAGTACTAATTGCATTTAATAACTTCTTCACTTCCAATAGGAGGTTAATAGGGACAAGATCAGTAGGTATTTCCTTTTCCTGTTTGTCCTAGAAGACACATTTTTCATTAAAAATTTATACTATTTATTATACATATTCTCACTTACTCTAATACTAAAACCAGTCAAAATATTAAACAGGAACAAAGTGACTGCTATATGTAGTTCACTGTGACAGAACTACAGAAATCCAAGTAAGAATAATAAACGTTCTCTGTACTGTCAGGAACTTACAATATTACACAGATTATTCTATATAATATGAAAACTATATCTAAGAGTGCTTTTTACATTATGTGACTGATGCTTTAGCTGCTAAACTAACAGCAAATTGAAATGAGTAAGAGTTGTAAACAAAGTAAAATAGAATGACTCTCATCATCTAAATTCAGTCAGAGCTGAGTAAATAGTAATAATCTTGGGAATTCAAGAACTGATTCTTACAGATGTAATGGTTCATTGATAACTATACAGTCAAGTCCTGCTGGACTGTCTACTAACGTTAGTTGTAAAAAACTGGTGGGAAACATGGATAAAGGGCCTAGAACAAATGGATGATAGCCTTCCTTCAAACCTTAACAAAATACCATAGTTCTCATACCCTATTGAAACTTGAGGAATATGATTATGTGCTGTTGACGTCTGCAAATCAGAACCAACAGCTTTTTATTGCAGAAGGCACAAAGAGTCACTGAAAATGCCCTGGTGTGGGGTGACTCTTCAATGCCAGGTCTCTAACAGACCTAGAACTACACAGAAAAATGACTAGGAACCAGTAAAGTCCCTAATCGCCCCTCTTGGGTTTGAGTGTTAAATTAAAATACCTCCATCTCCATATATACCTAACAAATACACCTTACATTTTATAGTACTTCATATATGAAGATTATATATATTGGAAAATGTAAACTGTTTACTAAATCTCCATGAAGCATGTTCACTGTACTATTCATTATACTATAGATGGTCACTGTATTATTCTTGTAACTTTTCTGTAGATTTGAATTTTTTCTAAAAGTTTAAAAAAAAGTCCCACAAAGTAAATAGAAAACCTCTTATAAAGAATGACCTCTATCAGTAGTGCATAAATTTGAACTAAAGGTCAATTCTAGTCAAAAGTCAGTGCAGAATCATCTGATGCTAATTAACAAATTTATACACAAGCAAGATTATGGCATAAAAAAATTAATCTTCACACCTATAAAATATTTTTATCCTATAAATACAATTTTAATTCTTTCAGTTGTTTGTCAAAATATTTGATGCTCAATCCATTTTTGCAAAATTGATTTAACATCTAAATCAAATTCTGGTCAAAGCATCCACCCTCCTTGATTTTGTATTCCCAATTCTGTATCTAGAATTGTTTTTTCCAGATCTAGTCCCTTGGTTCTTGCCTTTGCTCAACTGTACAACCCTATGTACATCTGTGTGTAGTGCATTTCCTCTGCACCTTTTTTTACAGTGATAAACTTATGCAGGTTTCACTACTGTGGCTATTTTATGTTTACATATTTTCTCCTCCTAAGTTACTTTATAACCTTTGCAAACATTATTAACAAGCGGGCATCAATCATTATATTAATATAAATCAAGGTGGAAGGTAAAAATTGCATGAACAAGAACCTAACTCATCAGTCTTTCACTAGATATAAGGACATATGGTATTCATATAAATATTTTAACCTACCATAAAGCACATTGTCATTGGCAATAAAAAGCTTGTATTTATGTATAATTCAGAGTTATTCTCTTTCATTTAGACCTAGAAGTTCTAACAGTAAAGATAATAAAAAATTAAAAAATTTAACGTCAGAAACAACTCAGTAAAATTTCTTATTAAATAAAATTCTGTATGTACATGTGTTTTCTTTATATCTATGTACATGTGTAGTTTTCTTTGTTTGAGTTTTCCCTTCAAAAGACCAATGAGAGAGTTCTTAAAACTGATTGTTGGGATGTTTCTGGGCAAGTCAATTCAATTTTCTACTAAAGTTATGGTGACAATTGGTGTTTAAAATGATAACCTTGAGATACAGCATCAGTCATCAAAGCAAAAGTTAATTATGACTATTTTACTTATTAAGGTAGGAAAGTAGACTCGCCTAAAATATTTTAACAGACAATTAAACTGACTAGATTTACCAGGCATTCTTATACAAAGTCATTATTAACTAAAAGTTAATGAAAATTAAATTTTTTCTTACTAGTTGACCAGATGACTTTTCTAGCTTACTCTCAGTTTCCTCTTTCCTCTGCTCCTCCACAGTAGGATCCCTATTTTAAATGAAAAAGAAAGGTGTATTTACAGCATCTTCTCACAGAGAACATAATTAAATTGTGGTAGTAAAGAATCTAACAATTTAATGCTTGTCTGAAGTTTCAGAAGTGTAACAAATGTGTATCAAAGATTGATAATAGTGGCAGGTGCCATATCTCTTTAGAGACTCAAGTTAAAGAAAAGAAATTAGGCCATGCTCTCACTGGATGGTGATACAGAAAACAGCAAGCTGATGTAAAGAACTCTGCATCTTTAACAGACACACAACAGATCAAAATAATGGGGAAAAATTAACCTCATAGCACTGTTTCAAGAGAAAAAAAAAAGGTCCTTGAAAAGGTTAGTGTTTCATGTGTGTGCATGTTTGCGTGTGCATGTGTGTGTTTATGAAAATATGGGTTAGGAAAAGATCTATCTTGCATAGATCATTTTTACTGTTTGCGGCTCCTGGACTTACAATTGTTCAGTTTTCCAAAATATTTTTTTTTTTAATTGAGGGAGAATATCATATTTAGAAACTATTAACTATTTTGGTAAAAAATAACTTGACAGGTTTTGCTTTTAACATTGGCCTGAAATGTGAACATATATGCAGTGTTATATACTGAACTGAAAAATGTATTTATAAAATTGCTTTTGCCTACATATAGAACCATGATATAGGAACCATAATATAGGATCATATATGATTTATATAATCTTAATTCTGTACACTAGCAGAAATAAAACTGAGGTGAGAATTTTTATTGATTTACTCAGAATTATACCTTATAAACATTATCCTATTTTACTTTACATTTATGTATTCGTTTGATAGACAACCACTTATCATCTACCATATGCTAACTGACTTTGCCAGAGGAAATTGGGACAGATAAACAGTAGAGTATTATCCAATTTTCAAACTTCTAGTGAAAATTTCAACAAAAGATGATTTATACATATAAACATTTCACAATATGATTCTCAGTGCTCTTTAAAGTGTCATGGTAAAAACAAGCCTATTAATTGTCTTTTTCTCCACTTCCAAGCCCCACTCCAGAAAAAAAAACAAGGAACATCTATGTGTTATCAAGGGATGAAAAATATTGCAGCAGTATTTTCACAGGCTTGAGAAAGAGTACAAAATGTTCTAAAATGTATGCTCTACTTGCTAACTCCATTTAATGATCATTCACTCCTTCACCCAATAGTTCTCAATCCCAGATGCATATTAAAATCAACTAGAAGGCTTTTGAAACATCCAGATTCCCAAAACCTACTTCACATCTTCTGAATCAAAAGTGTCAAGTGAGCTGCTATATTTTCTATAGGCTCCATAACTAATTTTTATGTGTAACCCCAAATAATCCTCACCTCCACCTCTGTACAGAATAAAGCTAAACCTCTTAGCAACACAATCAAAATCCTCCTCCCAAATTTTTCTTAAGTACTTTTTCTTGCTGTTTCCTCAGCCAAACAACCTCCCATTCTCCCTTGCTTCCACATCCAGCAAAATGCTTCTCATCCTTTCAATCAGTTCAAATGTCACTTTGTGGAAACTCATTCAATCCCCAGTCAATAATTGTTGTTCCTTCCTATGTACAGCCACAGCATCTCTAATGTAATACTTACCTAATTTGCCTAAATATATACTTTTTATATATTTTCCTACTATATTATAAGCACTCTATAAGTATACAAATTCTGTGTTACTCTTTATTTCCTAAGCACCAAAGAGTCAGTAAAATGCTTATAAAATAAATTCATAGGTCATATGGCTTATTATTCATATAATAATGGTTGGAGGGAGACATCCAACACTAACCTGCTGTTTAGTATTATGAGAGAGGTACAGGCAGGCTGAACTTGCACTGGTTGGAGGGAATAGACTGTCATTTGGACTGGGACCAAATGAACCACTCAGTAGAGTCTTCTGCTTAAGTTACTCTCTATAAAATGGGGATAATAACAGTACCCAATTCATAGAGTTGTTACGAAGTTTATATGAGCTGACCATTTGTGAAAACATTAAAAGTAATGCCTTGCACATAGTAAGTCTTTGTAAGTGCTTGTTAAATGATAAAACATTATTTTGATGAGAATGTTCCATGAGCAGCAAGATGTGGTACATTTTTCAATTCTTAGCTCTTTAGCCAAGATATAATCCCTAGTGAACTTTCATAAAATTAGATTTTACCCAGTCTACATTCCCCACTAATCAAATTTGCCAAATTTTCTTGAAGCATAAGAGTATCTCATTCATATTAGCTTTCCAAGGTTATTGGAAAAGACAAATGTCCTGTCTTTGGAATACAACAATTGCAATTGGTTTTTGTCAATCTATCTCTTACCTCACAAAAAATTCTTCTGGTAGAGAATCCATGTTGTACAGGTTCCTTTACAAAAATTATATTCTAGTAGTTGCAAACTGATTTTTACTACTGCTGTTCAAAGCTGTAAGGGAAATAATATTTAATGGGAATGTAGAAAATTTACATTCTTTCTCTCCACTATAAAAACAGCATAAGATTATTAAAGAAAACTTTGAAAATGTTCTAAAAGATAATCAATCACATAGCTTCACCATCCAAACATAATCACCACTACCTTTAATATATTTATTTTTTTTCCAAGTATAGGTATATTTTACCAATATAAATTACCAATTTGATTACCAATATGATTACCAATTTGTAATCATACCATATAGCAAATATTGTACCCCACCTTTTTTACCACAGAATGTTATATCAAAAACATCTTTCATGTTATTTTATCTTCCTAGTAAACATTCTCAATGGCTATATAAGAGTTGATTTGGGTTTCCTTGATGATTTCCTTATAATTGGATGTTTAATTTCCCGTTTTTTCCATTATAAACAATTAGTTCCATGATAAACACCATTGTCCATAAAGCTTTTTCCTTATTTATGATTATTTCCTTACAATAAATTCTCAAAAGTAGAATTAGTAGGTCAAAGACAAAAATATTTAAAGCTTCTTCGTGTATATTATTAAATGGCTTCCCAAAGGGTTTGTACTAGTTTATTTCCCATAGAAGTATATGAGTTCCTGCTTAACACAATCTTGATAGTACTAATTGTTTTGTTTCATTTTAGTCTAGAAATAACAGGTGGCCACTTTTTCCCAAAAATCATATGATTCTATATCTCCATAAAACAGGAGAGGTGAGATGTAAAATACACTTACACACTCTGATTCAAATACCAATGGATGTCATGAATGTTTCCTGAAAAAAAAAGTACTGACAAACAAATTAAAACAAAGGGGGCGAGAGTATCATTAGTATGTCTATTTATTTATACAGCCCTCTATTTAACTATTCCAAAAACAACTCTTCTAAAATTGGTCCCATTTGATCTTCTTTACTAAGAGTTCAAGCCCCTAGACTCCAGAGCCCTCTGCTAAGATAGCTTCTCTTTCTGATCCCACTCTAAGCCCGGAAAGGGTTAGAGCAAGATATGTAAACTGCTGTTACATACTCTTGGGCAAAGAAGAAATGCTGAGGAAAAAGAAAAGAAAGTGGCAGCAACAGCACGTAAAACAGACCTAGACTGCCTTCCTGCCAAGCACCAAGACTGAATAAAGTTTTTCATTTGTTGTCTCTGGGCCACTTATTTATCTTAGTAACTGAGTGGCCACTTTCCCTAATAGCATAATTAATAAACACCCACAGATTAGATTGGTACAGCTTTTTGCAGGCCCATAACTAAAAGGCAATTCAGCATGGGTAATTCCCAAATCAAGAAAATATATTTTGCAAGATTAATTATAAGTCAACATTAAGAATTCAGATTGTATTTATTCAAAGAAACATTATTCTAATGATGCTGAACACCCTAAAAAGGCGATTTAACACAAAGAGAGAAAAAAAGTAACTGCAAAACCTGACCCTCCTAAGCCTTGAGGTCTGAGTATCTTCTCATTAGTAACCTTAGAAGAGAGGAGGGGGCAACTTTGCTCTGGTATAAGGGATAAAAGAAGTCCTGTGAAGATCATCTGTAAAACAAGGATTCCTAATTACGATATTATGTACCAATATTCTATATTTGATTCATACCAACTCTATGTAATACAGAAAGTCTTGAGAGACGGGAGTATTTCTTCAACAATTTGATGCTGATACTTCTTGATTGAAACATAAATGCAAAGATAAAGATACAAAGACACACATACACACAAAGACTTCCTTCTAAACTTCCTCATTTAAAACAGAGCTTTCTAACACCTCTTAATTTCTTGCCCATCCTTTATCAAAAAACACTTCTTGCTGTCAATATTACAACTCACTTATGTGGAATTCAGTTCTTATAGATAAATTATTTTATTTTATAGTTTTATTCATTTTAAAAATTCAGTAAGCAAAGCCATAAGCAAAGTCATATTTAAATTTGTATATCTTCTGTTCAAATACTGATGAAAAATAGAACCTACAGCTAATAATGAAGCAGAGAGGTTGGATAAACCTTATCAGTCTTTCATAGATCTGCTTCATCTGTTTAATAAAGCTATACAGAAAAGGGCACAGCTTTGAGAATTTTAGGATTATGATAAAACTATTTTTCTTTTATAGTTTCTACAAACCACCCTGGTTGTTTTAATAAAAAGTAACAACATTATTGTTAAGGCATTATTTCACAGCCAGAGAATACAAACGTATGCCTTTTCTAGACAAAACAATTCCCTCATTTCCAGAATGTATAAAATCTCAGACATGGAGACCTCCCCCTCTGATAAGCTCTTCTTTGGTCAGTAGCTATTTGCACAGATTACAGCGAGGATGAAAACAAGGGAGGAAAATCCTCTGGTGACAAGACAGAGAGGATAGAAGGCCTCTGCTAAGCTGTTCATTGTTCAGCTTGAAAAAGAAAAGAACTGAACATTAATAAATCTGAAGATATTTGGATCCCAAATTAACAGAGTTAAGAAAGCCTAGTGGCTTTCTTTTTCAGCTCTTAAAATACAACCTGAGACGAATCTCTGTGATGGAGGGTTTTCGAGGAGAGAGGATCATCAATCCCATCATTGCCCAGGAGCTAAGCAGGTATGTGTGGCAAACACCACCGGCAATAGCAGCAGCAGTGGCACTTGACAGCCTGTTGGGGAGGAAGGCAGGCGCAACTGCCTAGCAACCGAAAGGAAGTAGCCAGTCTGAAATTTTACCACTGTGCTTCTAAAATAATCCAAAGGTTCTTACCATTCTAGAAGAGGCCAGAGGAAACCTTTAAAGTCAGAGTTAACACAGCAAAATGGGTGATTCTAGTTTCCCCTCGTATATTCATTTCAATAGACTTTCCCTGTCAGCAGGAAACAAAATTTTCTCTGAGTTCCTGGTACTGAGAGACAGCTTTTCTACAGAAATCTATCTAAATTCTCATTGGTTGAGCTGGTGGTAAGCTAAAGTTCAGTGTCAATTTACAGCACACCTTAATCCACCAATCAGAATGATCTTATCTGCAGGCTTTCACTGGTTGAAAAATAAGGTATTGCCATCCATATCTTGATAATCACCAGCATGCCTTTCTTACTATGCCTCTATCTGAGCTCTCAGCTCCTACTTTCCCTCTTATTTACTCAAATTATAACACATTTTTTTTTAGTTGCAAAGGTGTTTTGTGTTTCCATTTTTAAAGCTGTGTTTATTCACATCAAAACAGGCACAGCTCTTATTTATAATTATTTAATCATTCATTTAAACATTTAACTTGTGGCACTACTGTCACCTCCCTAAACCGAATACAGGCACAGTTTTTATAAAAATGCACTTCAATGTTTCATTTTGACTAAGTAACCTGACCAAGTTAGAGGCTCCAATTTGCCAGCAAGTTTACATTTCAATGTGTGGGTGGATGTCCCATGAATTTTCCAGGCTTGTCAACTCCAGCACTTACAGATTACACAATGCCAGGTAAATAAATTAAAAATTAGTATGGAAAACAATAAAAATAACACCCACCTTTTCTCAATGCTACTACCTTAAAAAACAAAGTAATGTATTTGGTGTTTTCTAGAAGAGAAGTTGTTACTTATGCCCTCAGGGTTTCTCAATCTTGGCAGTATTAACATTCTGGGGTGGACAATTCTTTGTTATGGGAAGTTGTCCTATACATTTTTAGGATGTTTCACAGCATACCTGGCCTCTGCCCACTAGATGCTAATAGCAACCCCCCACCCGTACCTCCACAACCCCTGCCAGTCCCTACTGTGGCAATCAAAGATGTCTCCAGATATTGCCAAATATCGCCAGGGGCACAAAATTGCCCTGAGTTGGGTTAAGAACCACTGATCTTTAGGAATGGGTTAAGATAAAAAGCTTAATTAAGTGGACATAGAACAGATTGTTTGGGGGAAGAAAAACAAGACCATTCTGACATTACATAGCATGTATTATACAAACACAAACACCACCACATTTGTCTACAAGAAAAATGGCATAAGTAGCTCATTTAGATTTCCATGAATGTCCAAATAAGTTGAGAAGCTACATAGCAGATTAAGAGCACAGAAACTTTGGAATAACTCTCCAATGGTATATAGGCCTTTGTTGACACACAGTAGCTATGCAACCTTATGTGAAATTAAAAAACCTTCTTTGTGCCTCAGATTCCTCATCCGAACAGTGGGGATAATAGTGGTACCTACTTCATAAATTTTTGTGAAGATTAAATACTTAAAACATGTAATAGAACAGTCCCTGGAACATAGTAAGCACTATATAAGTGTTCCTATTACCACCATCTTCATCATCATAATCATCATCATTTAACTGTTTAGGTTTGTAGCAAAATTAGTTCCCTTTTCTTCTAATTCCCTCATGAGAGCTTCACTCTCACGACCTAATTTACCTCCCAAAGGTCCCACCTCACCTCCTAATTCTATCACACTGGGGGTTAGGATTTCAAGAATTGAAGGGGAGTGGGGGGAGGAAGCATTCAGTCCATTGCACAAGTGTTCTGTGGCTCTAGTACCCTGAAGTTCTTTATTTCTCATATGTTAGTAAGCTCCAGGTAGACAAAAGTGGCTAAAGCCATTAAATCAGATTTAAAGAATAACAGGTCACATCATTATTTTGTATGAGCATTGATGACAATGAACAATATGATTACTTGGCTTTCTAGTTCACCATTAATTTCTTCCATTTTTTTGTTTGTTTAACTTCCTGGTAAGGCTACAAAATAAACATATCTAAACATGAGTGGCTAAAACATTATTTGCTTACATACATAGTTGGCTTAGGCAACCTCTAGGACTGATGGATGATGGTTGGAAAATCTTGGTAAAAGTTACCAGAATATGAAGATATTTTCTGCTGTAAAAGATCACTTTCCATCTCAGCTCTTACCTTTGCAAAGATCATTGTTA